TTGCTAATCGGAAGGTTGGCAGTTCGAATCCCCGTGACAGGGTGAGCTCCTATTGCTCTGTCCCAGCTCCTGCCAACCTAGCAGTTCAAAAGCACGTCAAAGTGCAAGTAGATAAATAGGTACAACTCTGGTGGGAAGGTACCGTAAATGGTGTTTCGGTGCACTGATCTGGTTTTGCCAGAAGCGGCTTAGTCATGCTGGCCACATGACCTGGAAGCTGTACGCCGGCTCCCTCAGCCAGTAAAGCAAGATGAGCGCCGCAACCCCAGAGTCGTTCGTGGCTGGACTTAACTGTCAGGGGTCCTTTACAGTTACCTTTACTATAATGTCATTTGAGTCTTCCAAAGCTAGGCACATGGAACACTTTCATGCATTCTTCACAGAACTTGTGGTGGTGTATAACAGCTTCATGTGTTCATCAGGAGCATCCATTGCTCAATGAAAGAGCACATGTTTTGCATGCAAAAATGTCCCAGGGCCAGTCTTCAGCACCTCCAGTTAAAACCTTAGCTGATAGGTGATGGAAAACATTATTTCCTGTATAAGATCCTAGAGAACTGCTGTGATGCAGTGGCGACTGGCGCCCACTTGGACTGGTAGGATAGAAGGCAGGGAGACCAACAGTAGATGGCGCCAGAGAGACCACAACAGGCAGGTCCAGAGCCAATGACATGCGGAGTCACCTTATTCTAGTTTTGTCCCCATCCTACCCCCTCCCTGCTGTGTTCTACAAAGGCATCACTGAGGCTAAGGAGAAGGAGGAAGCTGACAGTCGGTGCCACCCGCTGGACTGTTGTAATTAAGAAGACAGGTAGGTGGGGGCTGTCTAGGGGCAGACTGGGGTTGGTGGAGCAGCACCCCATTTGCCAGCCTCCAGTGCCTGTGCTTTTATATATGCTGCTTTTCATTTATCTAAATAAAATTCTGTGTTTTCTTAACATAATGTGAATTGTTGAACTTTTAAATATGCGTATCGTTGTGCTCCTTGCGAGGATTTGCAGAAAAGATGCTGGACTGCACATCTATCAAACAAGCCGGAAAGTCAATAAATAAACCATTAGCCCTTTGGTTCAAAAAAACCAACCACCCCACGCTGTCAAAAGGCGCAGGAGCCCTGCTGGAGAAAAGGATTTGGCAAACCTTTATCTTACAACAGTGCTCCAGCATTCCCACAGGCTCCTCTTTATTATCCAATTATTCTCCGAGGTGCTAGTTATGCCTATATATGTATATTCTAACAGGGACTTGGTTTTGTTGGGTATCTATGTTTTTTCCTGTTTTGTCTTGTTATCATTTTTGCTGAGCCTCAGGGGCGGGGGTGGGTTTTCAGTTTTGGAATAAATAAGAGCAACAGCTATCTCTCAGGCCTGCGGCCAAGGTGGGGGCGCGGTGGAGCAGATGTGAAGGACTCAGATGTTGTTGCTAACAACGCTTGTGTGTTAACAACGCTAGTGTGGGTCGCAGGAGGAGGGAGAGCATGTTCGGCCTGCTATGACCTGCTGAGGCCCCAGGGCGTTTTGAGGCACTCCACCCGTCCCATTCCAAGCTCCAGCAAGGTCTCAGTGGTGAAATTTAATTTAGCAGAACACCTCTGAGCCATTAAACCATTAAACTGATCTCTTTCTTCTCTTTTGTCTGATGCCAGCTATTATCAAACAGGGGCAGACCGGGTGATTCCCCAGCTGTGACTGATACCAGCAGGTGCCTGGCTTTTGTTGACAACCCTTCATTGCAGCCGCTCACTTGGGTTCCCCTTCCTCTCAGCCCAATCCCAAACGAGAATAAGGGAGAAATCTGATTCACTGCATAATCTAAGGAAGATTCTACCGAAATGATTGAGGGGATAGAGCAACTCCCTTATGGAGAAAGTTTGCAACATTTTCTGTTTAGAGAAAGGCTGAAGAGGTGATACAGTAAAAGTTTATAAAATTATGAAAGTGAACAGAAAAAAGTTTCTCTCCCCTTAACACCATTAACGCTAGAACTTTGGGGCATCCAACGTTGGAAGGCTCAGGACAGACAAAAGATACTTGCATGCATCTGTGCAAGTAACAGACATAAATGCTCTATATTAAGAGAAATTGCTTTGCAAAAATGTGCACATTAGACAAAACTGCATACAATAATGTGTGCATTAGGAGAAATGTGCCCAAAAATGTTCATGAATTTTAGGAAGACTCTATCTATCTATCATCTATCTATCTATCATCTATCTATTAAAAGCAAAGTGATTTGGGACTGAATTCAAGATCAGTGGGGGTGGGGGGGTCCAAAACCCATTTAAAGAGAATAAAATTACATTGTTATCTAGCAATACTGGGAGTCAGACCATTGTTCCATCAAGCTCAGTATTTCAGACAAGCAAGTTTCCCAGTCCTACCTGCAGAAGCTGCTGGAGATTGAACCCAAGACCTGCAGGCAAGGCAGATGCTGTCCACTGAGTTATGGCATGCACCTTAAGACACAGGAAGTTGATTTATAGTCAGACCATTGGTCCATCTAACTCAGTGACTTCAATGCTGGTTCTGTGTGTTTTAGACAAGGGTCTCTTCCAGTCCTACCTGGAGATGTTGCCAGGGATTAAACTTGGGGCATTCTACAGGCAAGACCAGGGGTCGGCAAGGCTTACAGGGCATGGGCTGGATCACTCCCACGGGGATTCTCTGTGGGCCAGGCCAGCGCAGCGTGACACCAGAAATTGCATCTGCACATGCCCAGATGCCGAAAATCGCACCTGTGCAGAAGTGATTTTCAGCGCCTAGGCATGCGCAGAAGCATTTTCCGGCACTGTGGACATGCACAGAAGCGATTTCCGGAGCTGTGGAAAAGAGTCCCTGCATTGCGCTGTGCCGGTTTTGCGCAGTGTGCGGGGACTCGTCAAGCAGGCGGCTCGGTTCGGGGGCAACTCATGGGCTGGTTAAGCGACCCTCATGGGCCGCTTCTGGCCCACGGACCTTAGGTTGCCGACCTCTGGGCAAGACAGATGCTCTACCAGTGAACTACAGCCCTATCCCATGAAGACCACCACCATCCTTCATAAGACCAGAATATAAGATTACTTCACTGTACCACAGTTTCCTGTTTTAAAAGAAAGGTGGGAGGAGTATTTACTCCAGGTCCAGCCAATCATAGGCCTCCCACTGCTGATGGGCAGCATTTGCAGTGACCAACCTGGCAGCTATCAGGTGACACTGTGGGCCAAATCAGGTTCTGCCTTATTGATGGCCTGGCTTTTTCCTCTAAGTGACAAACCTGAGCTAATCCAACCTTACCTCCAAGCCATCCGACAAGGCTGCTAGATTGCATGAGGTCCCAAATATTTTTTTTCTTGCCATGAAGCTGGAAATTATTTGCAAGGTGAGTTAACAGTAAGAAAAATCAACACACACACACAATCTGCTTGGCAAATTCCCTTTGCCTCATCTGACTCATTTGTTTGATAATTATTGCCGTTAATTGCAAAAGATGGGTGCCCTCCCATAGGATATAAACTGTTGTGCTTGACCAGACAAATACCTTGTGCGTGTTCTTAAAACACATGCATTGCTATTTTTAGGGAGAAGTTATTAATAGACCACTGCTGGTTGAGCAGAAAACTCTGCACATAAAAAAAAAAGAATATATATGAGTCAACAACACACCTACTCTATCATGCCAACTGTCCCAGTGCCCAAGATTATTTTCGTAAGTAGGTGTAGGTTGGAAATAAGGTATTTGAGCAAGGGGGGGGGAGTAGGCTGTATGTGAGATCTTTCTAACCCCTGGATCCAGCAACTGTTAAAATATAAGGCAGGCTAGCTTCCTGTGTAAAGGTGATTGCCTGTGTGATGGGCCATTAAGAGAGCAAAGGAAAGGGGCTCTCTGAGAGATGGCACATGGGTGAGGCTCCCCCAGCTCATGGTTAGAAGGAAAAGGCAGAGTAAGAGTGATGTGACCTAGAGGTAAAGCAGCAAGCTGGAGAGACACAGAACAATGTTTGAGAGCAATGTTTGATTTCTGTTTGAATCCAAGGCAAAAGCTATGAGAGAAACAAGACCCTTTTGGGGTGTTGATGCTGTGAACCCCTCCATTGTAGGCTCAGGTTGTATATGTCTGTAAATATCATAAAGACACTACAGTCTCCGCTGTGCCTCATTCCAAAAGGAAAAATGGACTTTGGGAACCCCTGGAATATTGACTGCTGGGAACCCCTGGAATATTTGACTGCCCAGAGATTGGGGTGGCGGGAAACATTTCTTCAGAATTACAGTGCTATGTGGCAAAACCTGAAGCTGCTTCCTAATTCAGGGAACAGGGGCAGAAATAGAAAGAGCTGACAATGTGAGATCTTGAAAACACCTGGAGAGCTGGTGGGGATGTCTTTACCCAATGCCCATTACCTGTTTTGTTCCCAGGACTGAATTCCCATCCAGTGAAGTGGTGTGCTGTTATCTGCACATGTGTAGCAGCTCTCTGAAATGAGTACACCTCAGCTTAACCGTGGCTTTTATGGGCCCTGGGTTTCAGATAGGGTTCTCTCCCTGCCCTGCTTGAAGATAATGGGGATTGAACCTAGGGCCATCTGCATGCAAAGCAGAAGCTTTATTACTATGGCACTTCCCCTAGAAATAAAGAAAGATTCTAGTCCTCATGGTTCTGAATGAACAGCCAACTTACACAGGAAGCTGCCTTATACTAAGTCATACCATTGGTCTACCTAGCTCAGTTTTGTCATCACTGTAAGCAGTACAGTGGTACCTCGGGTTAAGTACTTAATTCGTTCTGGAGGTCCATATTTAACCTGAAACTGTTGTTAACCTGAAGCACCACTTTAGCTAATGGGGCCTCCTGCTGCTGCTGAGCCGCCGGAGCACGATTTCTGTTCTCATCCTGAAGCAAAGTTCTTAACCCAAGGTAATATTTCTGGGTTAGCGGAGTTTGTAACCTGAAGCGTATGTAACCCGAGGTACCACTGTAATGTGTACACTGCCTTAGGGCTCGTCCCACTTGTCCCATACCTAGAAAGCATGGATCCAAGCAGTTTTCCAATTGACATTTACTATGGTTCAGGGGTAAAGAGTGGGTTTTCCCAGGGAAAGTGCTGGGACAAGCAGAAGTGTTAATGAGTCACATTCATCCATTTCAATGTGTCTGCTCCGAATAGCATTGGCTACAGCCCATTTTTGCTGCTTCTTTATCAAAGAATACTAATAAACCAAAATCAATACAGTACTGATAATATGATTAGATTGACATTTTTTCCAACTTTTTAATTTAATTTTTGACTGTGTTTTTGAGAAAACATTGCTGCTTTTTAAATTGACAGTGTTATGGAACAGCAAAGAACTTGGGGGCTTCCAGACAGGATCGGTGCTCCTCATCCATTCAGGCTTTATGTAGCATCCACATGACAACATCTGCATCAAAATGCCAGCTTGTATCCTGCCATCCCATTTAATCCAGATTTAGAAGCTGCAAATGCAGTCTTTTTTTAAAAAAAAAATTTTTTTTGCCAACAACTCATTTGCAATATCTGAATGACCTGTTTACAGTATTAAACCTCCATCTGGAGGCAACTTTTATTTAAAACCATCAGGATTAAATGCAGTTATATTCTAATCTTTGTTTCTCCTTGTAATTGTGTAAGATTTTCTCTTTTACCCATGACTCAAAGAGGCTTTCTTCTATTTCAACCCTTGGGAGCCACCAGTTCAAGATTGGAAACTTGCTGGTGCCCCTTTAAAGGAAAAAGCCCGATTCAAAAGCATTTATAGCTGGGATGGTGAACCTCAGGGCCTGAGGACCAAATGTGGCCCTCAAGTCCTCTCTATCTGGCCCTCAGAACTCTCCCGTGGCCACACCTCTCACTGGCCTTGCTTCACATTAACACCCTGAGAGTTATGCCTTTCCTTCAACTCCAGTAATGCCCAGGGCTCCATCCACACTATACACTTCAAGCAGTATTATATCACTTTAAACAGTCATGGCTTCCCCCAAAGAATCCTAAGAGTGTCGTTTGATAAGACTGCTGAGAGTTGCTAGACAACCCCCTATTGCCCTTCCAGAGCTACAGTTTTCAGAGTGGTTGAAAAATCATCCCTCTTCCCAAAGGCATATTTATTTATTCATGGCATTCACACCCGAAAGAAAGAAAGAAAGAAAGAAAGAAAGAAAGAAAGAAAGAAAGAAAATGAGCAGCTCACAATAATCAGTACTAAGGCAGTCCTTTGCTGTCAGGCTCACAATCTAAAAAGACATGACACGTGAGGTAAAAAAGAAATGGGAGGGAAGAGGAAAAAAGCAATCTCAAGTGTAAGTCCTTCGCTTCCTATATTCCTAGCTGTACATTCTGGCGACCAAAAGCCATGTTGCTCTCATCCCTATACATTTGCAAATAAGTCTAGACATTGGTCAACCCAGTACACGTGAGGGATAATGAAGCCTGGAAGGCCGCATTTGGTCCATGGGCTGAAAGTTCTCGACCCCTGCAGTTCACCCTTCCATAATGAAAAGAGGGGGAAAGCAGCCCTTTTGTCAGAAGTTCCCACTTGTCCTTTACAGTAGATTCACCTTGGCTATAACTTGCTTACAACCGGTGATGGCATACTGTTGGCCCCCTTGAGTGTAATAGTTGATCTGGCTGGCTAAGCTCTCCACGTGGCTCGGATCGGGATAAAGGCCTTCGCTCATCATCTCCTCATAGAAGCAGCTCAGGATGTGGCTCTTCTCCAGCAAGACGAAGGGAACGATCTCCGCCAACATCCAAAGAGGGTGGACTTGGTCAAGGACAGGACGGAGAGCAGCCTGCAGCAACTCCACCTTCTTCTGGGGCTGCAGTAGGTCGCCAGAGGCATTCTGAAGGAGAACATTGGCGACCTCGTTGCCCCCCAGGTTGCTTATCAGGATGTACACAGCATTGAGGAACTCGTTGGTTTGGTTCGTCTGGAAGAACCCGCCCAGTGTTTCCAGCAAGGCCGTAGACATGAACTCCACCTCGTCCAGGATAAACACAGGGATCTTCTCTTCAATTTCGGCTTGGGTGACCATCTCGCTGATCGTCTTAGATAAATCTTGCTGGCAGGCTGATGTGGAAGCGCTGTCTGGGCAGTGGTGCATGGCGAAGTAATGGAGCACAGAGCTGTGCCCCATGACTGACCTGAAATGTTTGGCTAGCAGCCAACCGACGTGGCTCTTCCCAACCCCACTTGGGCCGTTGAAGGAGATGACCAGTGGTTTGTTGTGTATGTGGGTTGCCAGGTAGTCCTTGAGCAACGCCACAATGCTCTCGACTGCTAAGGCCTGCCCAAAAACCTCTCGGTGCATTGTCTTCTCCAGACCATCCAGATCATATTTCAGGAGGTTATCGTCCAGATTCTCGATGGCGTTCAGGATCTGGAAGCAGACAATTCCTACAAGCAACAGGAGGCACCTCTTGGCTTTGCTCTTGTGCTCGGCAGGGAGGTATTTCCTGGAGTTTCCTGGGTACAATACCCTGGGGTTCTTGGACCTCTTCCTCCGCTTGCTGGATCTGGTTGAGGGCTCCTGCACCGAGGTATCAAAAGTGAAGTACTGAGAACTCTCAAAGCTCGCTTGGCTCAAGAGGGAGGTGGAGGCACTGCCCAGTCTGGCCTTCCCCAAGGAGATCTGCCGCTGGAGAAGCTTCGCTTTGGAGTCCCCAGGCAGGAAGTTCTTCTTAAAGGCATGAGCTGTCCTCCGCAGGCGAATGGCAGCCCGCACTGGGGATGAGAGCAGAGAGAGCTTCTGGGGGCTTTTCAAGGCCTGCTTCCGGCCCTCCATTGTGAGCTCTTGCCGTGGGTCTCGCTTTCCCGCCTTCTCTACAGGAGAAGAAAAAGAAGCATAAGAACACAGCAGGAAAGGCAGCATGGTACAGTGGTTTACTTCCCGTATCAAAATGCCACAGGGTTGTTGTGAGAGGAGAGGGAGATGAGTGGGACACATTTGTGGAAGAGAGATCTATCAGCAGAAATCTCATTTATTTTATCAGATTTCTTACTCGACCTGTACCATAAGGTCCCAGGGCACATTGTAACATCAGAATATACAATTATAAAACAAATACAGCCATAAGACAAGAAAACAGCTCCATGAATAAATCCAGTAAAAACAATTCCATATTTAAAAACAACTTATGTTCCCGCAAACACTTAGAAACAATTCTACATATATAAATATAAGTTAACTATGCTGGCAGGCCTGGTGCCAGCCGTTGGTTTAGTTGGGCACCAGTCAAGGGCTCCAAAGGGACACTGGTGGCGCCGTGGGTTAAACCACTGAACCTAGGACCTGCCGATCAGAAGGTCGGCGGTTTGAATCCCCGTGACGGGGTGAGCTCCCATTACTCGGTCCCTGCTCCTGCCAACCTAGCAGTTCGAAAGCACGTCAAAGTGCAAGTAGATAAATAGGTACCGCTCTGGCGGGAAGGTAAACGGCATTTCCGTGCGCTACTCTGGTTTGCCAGAAGCGGCTTAGTCATGCTGGCCACATGACCCGGAAGCTGTACGCTGGCTCCCTCGGCCAGTAAAGCAAGATGAGCAACCCCAGAGTCGGTCACGACTGGACCTAATGGTCAGGGGTCCCTTTACCTTTACTAGTCAAGGGCTCCAGGGGCTTGGAAGAGCTCCTAACCAGCCCAATCCAGCTGCACCACCATTCACTGGGCCCCAAATTATTTTCATTAGTGGGCAAATAAGAAGGCATGTGGTGGCCCTCTTAAGCAGCACTGTGTCCTGTCTGTGGGTGGGTGAAGGTGGCACTGTGCCAAACCCCTTCCCCAAAAGAGTCTGGCACTGACCCTGCATGACAGTAATTGGAACCTTCAGGTCCAGGGACAGTCTACTTCATGGGTAGGCAAACTAAGGCCTGGGGGCCGGATTCGGCCCAATCGCCTTCTAAATCCAGCCTGCAGACGGTCTGGGAATCAGTGTGTTTTTACATGAGTAGAATGTGTCCTTTTATTTAAAATGCATCTCTGGGATTTGTGGGGCATAGGAATTCGTTCATCCCCCCCCCCCAAAAAAAAAAAAATATAGTCCAGCCCCTGACACTGAGGGACAGTGAACCAGCTCCCCCGCCCCCCCCCCGCCCCCTCTGAAAAGGTTTGCTGACCCCTGGTCTACTTCCAAATGTCAGGTGGGGGAAGGGCACTGCTTGTTGGTTTACCAGAGGAATCTGGGGAAATGCACGGAAGAGGTAACCAACAGAAGGGTTGGTTACCATCAGCACCACACTTTGGGTGTCTCTTAACCCCCTTTTAAAAGTACGCAATCTCGACATAAGTATCTGTTTCACAAAACCAGACCAGAAAAACCAGCATGTAAGTTTTCTGGGTTGTTTTTTTTTAAGTCAAAAGCAATCCCCTTTTCTTGGAGAGCAGTGCCATCTAGAGGCTACTGCCTTTCAAAACACAGACTCCTGTCTGCTTTTAACAGCCGACTGCAAAATAGGATTTGTTTATTTTTAATAATGATAATAATAATATTGCAATGTAAAAGCATGGATCCGCTGAACCACAAAACCTTTTGTATTCAGCCTGACTCTGAAGCATTAGCATGTAGCACACAGGAAGATAAAGGGCATCAGTAGTTGGCCCAATTCACTGTATTTAAATGACTAACAAATAACAATGCTGAAATAGATTTTTAAAATTTTAAAAATTGTCCAGTAGCACCTTAGAGACCAACTAAGTTTGTTCCTGGTATAAGCTTTCATGTGCATGCGCACTTCTTAAGATAGCAAATAACAATGCCATTAATTTTAACAACTTCATGAAGTTCAGTGATGAATCACTTCAATAACCATTGGTTTGTTGATGGGTAGAGCAATCCAAACTAAAGGAAGCCAACTTAATCTATGCTGGGGTAAATCATGCCAGTGTAACTAACCCTGATTCAAAACTCCATTAAGAAGAAGGGCTGGTGACACCTGAACCCTCCAGGGGAGGAGGGAAAGTCTTTAAAACACACTTTGACTTACACCACCTTTGTACTAGGGAACTCCCACTGGGTTACCAGGTCACATGACCAATCTGAACATGTTTGGAACAGGGCTATGTCTCCTCCTGCACCAACCTACAACATACCCCATCACACCTGTAGAACACCCCTGTTTCGGGACTTATCCTGGCCTCAGCTCAGTTGGCTGACCTGGGATGGGTGACGTCATCCAGCTAAGGCCAGGATCAGCTGGCTCAGAAACCCGCCACCTATTCAAAATACCACTCATCCCCCAAGTTATTAGCTTTGGTTTGTCCCCTATTTATTTATCTCCCCCCACTTCTTTCTCTTTATTAGATCCAGTAGAGTAAATAAAGACAACTATGGACACAAGCAGTAGGGACTGCATCTTATGCACATTTAACTTGTGCAATTTCAACTATATAGGCTGACTGGTCAAAACCCTGCCATTTTATGGGGGGGGGGAGTAAATAAATCCTGCATGTTGAATGCAAAGCTGGTCCATGAAGACTTTGTGGAGCGGGTGGGGGGGGGGAAATAGTACTAATGATAATAAGAATAAACTGGTTAGATGGACGAATGTCCTGACTATGCATAACACAGCATTCATTCCTAGTTTTAGAACTGTGTGCATATATATAATGGGCAGTTTGGATTGTGGACTGTTATAAATTCCATTGGCACTTTTGAACTCGAGAAGCAGGATGGGAATATGAAAACAAGCCTCTATAGACAATAGGGAGAAGCTCTGCCAGACCCAGGGAGAAGCTATCAGGAGGGCAGCAGACAGGCCCATCCCACCACCGGGCTGCATTCATTCACTCATCAGCACTGATTTCAGTGCCAAGAGGCCAATTGTTCTTTGGGTTAAACTTCTACTAGAAAAATATGTTTGACCCAGTGAGAGCAGGATGCAAAACAGCAGGATGGGCGCTGCCTAGATCAAGCATGCAGCAAAAAGAAGGCATGCATTTTCAATCTCAGTAATTAACTTCTAGAGATCAGCAAGTCACCGAGTTGGTGGAAGGGACCTTAGAAATCATCCGATCCAACCAGCTACTCAGTACAAGGTCTGAAATGCAGGAGGAGACTGCAGGATCCCTGACAGGTGAGCCGTCCAAGCGGCTGTTTCAAACACCTACAGCAAAGGGGAAACCACCACCTCCTGAGGGAGGCTGTTCTATCGTCAAACAGCTCTTACCGTCAGGACAGTTCTCTTAACGTTCACCTGAGCTCTGCTTCCCTGCCATTTCCATTCACTTGCAATCTCCAGAGGAAAGAGCAGTGGTGGCTGGTACACATTGGGGCTGGTAGGGCAGGAGGCAGGGGAGGGGGAAACAGTAGGTGGAGCCCAGAGCCCATGATAGGTGGAGGCAGAGCCAATGACAGGCAGGGCCAAGCCATTTTATCTTAGGCCCCGTCCTCTTCCTCCCTGCTGAGTTCTGCAAGTGCAATGCTGACAGTAAGGAAGAGGAAGGTGACAGGCAGGACAACCCTCTGGACTGGCTGTAAGAAAGCTGGCCAGTGAGTGCTGACCTAAGTTGGTGGGGCACTTACCCATTCACCCTAACAGACCAGCCTCCGCTGTAGGGCAGGAGGCAGGGAGATGAACATTTAGGTGGAGAAAGAGCCACTGACAGGCGAAACCACCACCTGATTGGTTATAAGAAAGAAGGCAAGGTGGCCTTATATATAGGTAACATAGAAAGCCGCCTTTGCCAAGTCAGATCATCACTCTACCTAGCTCAGCATTGTCTACGGTGAATGGCAATGGCTCTCCAGAATTTTAAGACACGCGGTCTTTTCCTGTTACCTGAAAATTTCAGGAACTGAACCTGGGATCTTTTGTACAAACTCATTACAGGCCTCATTGAAGCTAATGGACAAAGGGCTTACTCCGAATATAACTCAGTCCAGGAGTGGGGAACTTTTGGCCCACCAGATGTTGTTGAACTACAACTCTCATAAGTCTCATCAAACATGGCCAGTAGCAAAGGATGGTGGGAGTTGTAGTTCAGCAACATTTGGAGGGCCAAGTGTTCCCCACACTTGGCTTGAAGCATAATAACATAAGCAGAGCTGTATAAAAACATTAAGATAATAATAATAATAATAATAATAATAATAATAATAATTCCATTCTCATGTTGGCCAAACAGATGTCCCAGTATATCAGGAACCAGAGTCAAGCGTAGGTCAGATGGTTCAGTAAAGTTAACTCTTTATTCAAAGCAACAGTGCAGGCCAGTAATCCCACCAATTCTTCCTGGTATGTGTTGCCCCAGTGAGGCAGCTGCAAGGACTGGAGGCCCCCGCCTTCCCATAGCTGCCTAAGTTCCGTCCTCTCCAGGGTTTTCCCCCAAGCAATCAGAGACTGCCTCTGAGCACAACCAATCTCTCTGCGTATTCTGGGAGACCGGGTCGGTTTGGGGGAGCTGGAAGCATCAGGAGGGGGAGACTCCCTGGATTCTTCAGAGATCTTCCTCATCGCTGCCTCTTGTCCCACCCCAACCCTTCTCCCGACTCCTTTTCTGCCTCTGAGCCTGGACTGCTCTCTGCCCAGCTTCTTCCTGCTCACTAAACCCTGTTGCCTCTTCAGCTTCCGGCACCTCCTCCTCCTCCCAATCTGCTCCGCCTTCTCCTTCTGACCACACTTCACCGTCCAACCACCAATCCCCTGGCTCTGAGCCTTCTTCCCCTGGGGGTTCCCTTGAAGGTACCCCTTGCTGATGCCTCCCACCACTCATTTGCATCCAGCCAGTTCATGACACAATGGGAATCCTGCAAGCAGGACCTAAGTGCAACACTCTCCCCTCCTGTGGCTTCAAACAACTGGTATTTAGAAGCATTACTACTTCTGATTACGGAGACAGAACATAGCCATCATGACTAACAGCAACTGATAGTCCTATGCTCCATGATTTTGCCTTATCCTCTTTTAAAGCCTTCCAAGTTAGTGACTACCAGTGACTCCTTTGGGAGGGAGTTCCAGAGTTTAACAATGCACTGCAATGTGAAACAACAACAGTGCATTGGTAGAGTGTTTATACTGGACGGGTCATCATTCTATTTTATTTCTTGTTCTGTGATATGCCCCCTAAATGGTACCACATTATTGCTGCGGGGGGTGGGGGTGGGTGGGCACTCTTGTTCTACAGGGGGAACAGAAACAGGACACTCATAAAATTAAACCAGAACAATTGTGGTATGAAAAGTTACAGAATTTCAGCAGAACGCTATGGAACATGCAGGAAACGAAGCAGGATATCTGCCCCAAAACTTTTGCAGGCTCAAATAGGATCAAAAGCGGGGTGGCTGATAACAACATGAGCACAAATCATTATAAATATACAATACAGAGGATATTGGGAGGGGACCTGGGTAATAACAACCAGGGACCATTTCTCTTACCATGCCAGGCTTGTGGAAACAGGATACTTTTACTCAATGGACCTTTCGGTTCAATGCTACAGAGTTCTTCCTCTGTTCTTAAAGTTTAACCCCCTTTAATCGTTTTCTTCCTGTTACATACTGCACAGGAAGGAACAAAAGGGGCTTCTAGTGTTCTTGGTAGTTATATTTTGAGGAAGCCAGTGAATCCATGCAAGGGCTCTGTTCTTACCACATAAACCCAAACCATGAGTCAGACGCTACAGAATCAACGATGCACTTTCTGTACGTTTGGTCCGTCATGGCAGCCAGGAAGAGGAGTTCCAGCCAGCAGCAAACAGAGGAAATAAACCAGTTCTCTCTCAGATTACTAGAAAGCCCCGGCTGTGAAGGCTGCTGCCCATTGGCAGAAGTCAGGGAGCCCAGAAATAGGTGGCACCAGAGCCAATGACAGGCACAGCCATCTAAATCTAGTTTTGTCCCCATCCGGCTGAGTTTTACATGAGCTCAGGTGTGGGTGAACCTGTCAGTTCTGATTTCTCTCAGGTAGGATCCACACCATGTATTTAAAGCACTCTTATACTACATTAACAGCAGTTGCCTGATGGCAAATTCAGAAGCAAAGGGTCCCTTCATGATAGTCACATCACGCCCCCACTCCTCCTAAGATTGTACAATAAAAATGACCTTTCAGGTCTCATTGTTTTGCTGAGGATGACAGCGTAGTCACATTCTTAAAAGGTAAAGGGACACCTGACCATTAGGTCCAGTTGTGGCCGACTCTGGGGTTGCGGCGCTCATCTCGCTTTATTGGCCGAGGGAGCCGGCGTACAGCTTCCAGGTCAAGTGGTCAGCATGACTTAAGTCGCTTCTGGCAGGCAGCCCCGGAAATGCCGTTTACCTTCCTGCCGGAGCGGTATCTATTTATCCACTTGCACTTTGACGTGCTTTCGAACTGCTAGGTTGGCAGGAGCTGGGACCGAGCAATGGGATCTCATGCCATTGCGGGGATTCGAACCGCCGACCTTCTGATCAGCAAGTCCTGGCTCTGTGGTTTAGACCACAGCACCACCCGCGTCCAGGTCACATTCTTACCATACATTTAATAAACTATGATACCACTTTAAACAGCTATGGCTTCCCTGAAGAATTCTGGGAAATGTAGTATGTTAAGACTGGTGTTAGAAAACCCCCTTGTCCCCTCACGGAACTACAGTTCACAGAGTGGTTCTACGGTCAATCCCTTTTCACAGGGAACTCTGGGAATCGTAAGTCTCTGAGGGGAATTAGGATCTTCTAACAACTCTTAGCAACTTTTTTTTTAAAAAAAACCCCACAGCTCCCATAATTCTTTGTGGGAAGCCATCACTGCTTAATGTGGTACGATGCTGCTTTAAATGCATAGTGTGGATGTGGCCTATGTCCTTTTGAGATCCAACAAGAAGAAGATGATGATAGAGAGAGCAAATGGTTGTTTTTTTTCACAGAGTAAATTACAGCTCACAGAGAGCAAATCAGGCACACACTTAGAAAATGGGTTTCTTTTTGTTTTTTTTCAGAGCAAAGTGAAACAGCTTTCAAAAGTTTCAATAATGCAGCCCACAGGATGTATTATTGTTTTTTTTAAAAAAAAAAATTACAGTGTAGAGACATAAATGCACAGAAGTGAAAAGCCCTCAGTTTCAAAATGCCTGGTCCCTTACCAAAGTAACAGCAATTTGCCTTCAAATGAAAGCCATTTCAAGCACTTCTCTGAAGAATGGAGCAGGGCAGGTGGGTGGGAGGAAGAAGAAGAAAGCAGAGACCTCGGGTATCCCAGAACATCCTTGGCAATGCCCCGTGCAATGGACGTTCTGGCACAAAACTGCCTGATCAAAAAATATTTAGTACTGCAAATAGTGGGCTCATTCATTAGCTGCCTAGAGCCAATTAACACCAGAACTTTGCAGCATAAGTCAATGCAAATCAGTCTGTGGGAGCTTGGGTGTGTAGGATGTTTACATAGGAACCCTGCTCCCAAAAAAGGAAAGGTTCTACAATCCCCCATGACCCTGTACAACCCCCATTCACCCTGTCATGTTAAGGGTGCTGAAGATGGGACGCGGGTGGCACTGTGGGTAAAAGCCTCAGCGCCTAGGGCTTGCCGATCGAAAGGTCGGCGGTTCGAATCCCCGCGGCGGGGTGCGCTCCCGTTGCTCGGTCCCAGCGCCTGCCAACCTAGCAGTTCGAAAGCACCCCGAGGTGCAAGTAGATAAATAGGGACCGCTTACCAGCGGGAAGGTAAACGGCGTTTCCGTGTGCGGCTCTGGCTAGCCAGAGAAGCGATGTCACGCTGGCCACGTGACCCGGAAGTGTCTCCGGACAGCACTGGCCCTTGGCCTTTTGAGTGAGATGGGCGCACAACCCTAGAGTCTGTCAAGACTGGCCCGTACGGGCAGGGGTACCTTTACCTTTAAGGGTGCTGAAAGTTGTTAGGAGACCTTCAACAAATTCCTAGGACACTTTGTGGGAAGCCATGTGTCTTAAAGTGGAATAAGAGTGCTTTAAATGTATGGTGTTGGTGTGCCTCTCATTTTCTACATCAGTTTTGCAACCCTTAGAAAAGAAAAGAAAAGAAAAGAGAACACATTTTTGGAAATCAACTTCCCATAATACAATGCCTTTCATATGTTATTTTCACTAATATATGCATACTTTACCCTAGTATATGCATTCTTATACACATTACTTGGCCAGAAAATTGCACTGCAAAATTCAGAGAAGTTCAAATTTCGAAGGAGGGCTGCGTTTCATTTTGCATATTGTTCCATGAGAGCGTGAATTAGGTTAAGGTCGCCGATAGATATGAACTGAATGGGACTTCTCCTCATTCAGTGAAAACACTGACACTCAGGGGAAGGAAGCTGACAGCCATTACCACCACACCCTGAATGCCATTAAGATGGCAGGCAGGTAGGGGAAACATCTCATGCACTCTAATGGAACAGTCTCCACTGAGCCTAGGTCATCCCATGACTGGTGGCATGTTCCAGAGAAAGCAAAAGGGAGTTATTCCTCCTTGCAACCTATACTTAACTGGAGGAACTCTTGTTCTTGTTCCCAGACGTTGGCACTCCCTCCTGACCTAAGAGAAGCTGGACTGACTCCCTCCTTATTGTCCTTCTGCCCACAGGTGAAGAAGACCTTCTTTTTTCCAACAGGCTTTTGGGAACAGAGTGCTTTTAATGAAAGGACTGGTGCTGTGCTGTTTTTGTTGTGGTTGCTTGTATGTTTTTAATAGATCAGGCAGGTAGGTAGATGATAGACACTTTTAATTTTATTAATGTTTAATAGTTTTTAAATTATTTTTCCTCTATGTTTTTAGGGATTACCCTTTCTAGGAACAGTCCACACTTTAAAGCTCCATTTCTGAGGGCTCTATCTCTGCTCTGGAGTTTTCCCCATGAAAGCTGACTCTGTGGAAAACCTGAATCGTCATTTGTTGCGCTTCAACTTTGTGGGCAAACCTCTGCGGCGAGAGAGAGAGCGCACTCAGATACAGAGCTTTAAAGCACAGATCTGTGCCTGGAAAGAGCAGGCAAAAAGGTAAGCGTGGATAAGCCCATGTTTTACCTGTGTCGCCTTGAACAGCAGCCACTATGCAATTCACTGCTAGCAATAAGGGCTAACAGCGGATCCTTTATGTTCAAGGTAGCATATGGCGGATTACTGGCTAGATCTAGACCTTTTCAGGCTTCCCAAGAGGTCAGCTTCCCAGAAGCATCAGGCTGGCCCACCATGTCATATGGTTTAGCAACAGATGCACAGCAATTTTTTCTCAGCATCCCAAGCTCACCTCCTTCTGATAAGTAGAGCTCAGCTACTCAAGGGTTTTAAAAGCATCACTCTGAAACTTACCCAAGCTCTCTGGGACAGACAATCCCAATGAGGAAAGGTTTCAGCAATTAGGGCTTTCTTCGTTTAGCGGGGGGGGAGGACACTCAGAGGCGACATTATTATAGAAATGTTTAAAATTATGCATGGCACAGAGAAAGTAGATAGATAGAAGTGCTCCTCCCTTTCTCATAAACCTAGAAGTCATGGGCACCCGATGAGGTTGAACGCTGGAGGATTTAAGACGTGCAAAAGGAAGAACTTCTTTACACAGCACAGTTAAACTATGGAACTGCCACAGGAGGCAGTGATGACCAGTGGCAGAGCAAGCCGATTGGGCACCTGGGGCAGTGGGGGGGGCCAGCCACCGGCAGGGCAGGACGAGCTGGGGCAGGACGCTCCACGGAGCCTCCAAAAAGTCTGCCTGCCTCCTCCCACTCAGCCACCCTACAGCTGCGGGGGGGGGGGGAGGCAGCGGGCGGACCGTTTGGGGCCCCACGGTGAGTGCCACCCAGCATTTTGTCACCCCCCTCAATGGTGACACCCGGGCAGCCCACCCCCACCACACACACCCTTCCTCTGCCCCTGGTGATGACCTTCAGGTTTGGATTACTTTAAAAGAGGATTCATGGAGAAAGCTATCTATGGCCTCTAGCCATGGTGGCTATGTTCTGCCTCCATTGTCGAAGGCAGTGTGTTTCTGAATGCCAGTGGCTGAAAACTGCAGGAGGAGAGAGGGCTCTTGCACTCGGGACCTGCTTGCAGGCTTCCCATGGGGCATCTAGTTGGCCACTGTGAGAACAGAATTCTGGACTAGATGGGCTATTGGTCTGATCCAACAGGTCTCCTCTTTATGCCCTTCAAGGGACTTATCTCAGAGGTATACTCCATGTGCCAGAACCCTTGAAAGTCACTTCCAGTCAGGGCATGCAGTACTGAGCTAGATGGACCAATAGTTTGACTCCCTCATAAAAGGCAGCTTCCTAAGTTTAAAGGGAAAGACCATAGCTCAGTGGTAGAGCACCTGCTTTGCACACAGAAGGTCCCAGGCAGAGCAGGGAAGGACCCTGTGTCTGAAAACATGGAGAGCTGCTGCCAGTCAGCATGGACAGTACTGTGCTAGATAGACCAATGGTCTGAATGGCGAGAGATCAGGAGGGGGCTTAATCCCTGTAACTGAAGCTTTATGGTTTTAACTTTATTGGTATCCACCATCACCCTAAACCCTCAGCGTGGGGGTTGGAAGGGATGAAACAAATAGCTCAGGAAATGGGTTTAAAAGTAAAGGATAAAAGGACCCCTGACCATTAGGTCCAGTCGTGGCCGACTCTGGGGTTGCGGCGCTCATCTCACTTTACTGGCCGAGGGAGCCGGCGTACAGCTTCTGGGTCATGTGGCCAGCATGATTAAGCCGCTTCTGACGAACCAGAGCAGCGCACGGAAACGCCGTTTACCTTCCCGCCAGAGTGGTACCTATTTATCTACTTGCACTCTGATGTGCTTTTGAACTGCTAGGTGAGCAGCAGCTGGGACTGAGCAACGGGTGCTCACCCCGCCTTCTGATCAGCAAGCCCTAAGCTCTGTGGTTTAGAGACCACAGCGCCACCCTAAGCCCTCAGCATGGGGATTGGAGGGGATGTAACAAATAGCTCAGGAAATGGGTTTAGCAGCTCTCAAGTAGCTGCTTATGAACACTGGCATTCCAAGGGCCCAGGAAGAGCAGGCAAAACTTGTTGGGCCTCATTCTTGAGCAGAAACACTTCACGCCCCTACTGATGGAAGGTGCTCACCCACC